ATCCAGTTCTTCCAGAGTTCTTCTATAAAACTGAGAGTTTGTTTGTTTGAGTCAAAATTTTGCTACAACTTCTCAAAGTCTTCTTTTGTAATTAGGCCTCTAATATATCTAGCTCTTTTTTGTAGCTCTTTAAGCATGCTATCTTTTTCTAATACCATAAGTATTGACTCTTTCTTTTCTTCTATATCTTCTGGTACTATTTTATCAAGAGCTCTTTCTACTTCTTGTTCTTCTATATCTCTTAAAAGATTTGTTGAGAACTCGCAACTAACCAAATATTCTATATTTTCATCTTTCTTTTTGTATATTATACATGTTGGGCCTTGTATAGATCTGGTCTTCTTTGATTGAGCTTTGCCAATACTGGTGGTGTATTATTTACACATTTTATTTTGAAAAGCTATTGTGTATTTAATTTGAAAGTATGGTCTTGCTGTTTTTTCTCACTCTTCAAAATTTTGTAAAATACAGGCCAGCATTGTGAATCTTTTTTTTTTTGATGTGAGATATCTTGACGACCATGTATATGTAACTATTCTACTCTATTAATCACTTTTTCTAGCATTTTAACAAAAGAGCATGTTGGTTTCTCTATTAATTCCCCTTTCCACATACATTTTAGCTTGAACTCTCTTGTACTCAGTGTGTTGAGAATTAGAAATTTTGCACTACCTGCACCTTCTTTGGTCTTAATATCTGCTAAATTATTATAAAAGTCCCCCAAGTGGCCCTTAACCTTTACTAGTTCGAGCACTGGCTGTTTGGTTTTGATTGCTTTTACTATTGTTGCAACAAGACCACTATTCTTGGTTTTTACCCAATGTCTAACTTTGTGCATTTCAAGCCCTTTCTGAATTGCTAATATAGCTACCTTACTATCAGTTCTTATCTCTACTTTCTTTTCTTTTGGTGTTACTAATATTGCAACAAGTATTGCAATGAGTTCTGCTCTGGTTGATGAAACCCAATTTTTTGTCACAAGGGCTTGAATGCTTGTTAATAAATAACTATATTTTTTTACATTGATATATTTTAAATTTAGAAGTTATATATAGTACCATGTTTTAAACTACTATAAAATACTGATGTTAGAATTTTATTATTTTATAACACTTATCTAGTTTAAATACTAACTCTTCATATAAAATATTATTTATAAGCATACCATATTAGGGCATACATGCCCATCTTTACTGTGCCATGAACTCTACATATGACCAAGGTCGTATCAAAAAAATGCCACTGATTGTAGATGTTGGCATAAAGGTGTGCCGAATCGTTTGGTGTGACAAATAAAAATTGGCTAATTGATCCTATTATTTAATGCTTATTAGTCACATCTCTACGCTAAATGGAAGGGATCACTTTGGCGTGACGAATAAGAATTAAATAATAGAATCAATTAGTTAATTCTTATTTGTCACACCAAATGATTCGTCACACCTTTATGCCAAGTGGTCGGGCCAACTACAATAGACTATATTATGGGTTGTTTACATAAATTCTGAAGCAACTGAAAAAATGCCAATGACCAAATTGACAAGTTTCTGGGTTTGGTTACTTATTGATTCTGACTTTCAGTTGCTCTAGAATTTATGTCAGGAATTATAATAATAGCTGTAAAGACAAACCAATTTAATTCTCTGTTTTACATTACCCCCCTTTCTTCAGACCCTACATAGTAAAATAATTTATAATATCTCATTTAAAAAAAAATAAGGCTACCACCAACAACGGTAATAAAGGTAATTTTAATAATTATTATTTCAATATCTTTTTTCTCTTTAACATGTACATACATCATTGCGGCGAATTTATGAAATACCCCCAGAATTTGAAAATTTTGACCACTAAGATATAAATATAGATTTTGGCTGAGATAAAAAAAATTTCCCGCGTCGTTATAATAAATTTGTATGTCTAATAAGGGTAGGAAAGTTGGGTTAGCCTGTGGGGAAGATGGGTTAGACGCGTTATCGGTCTAGATCAGAGGTACAAAAAAAAATTTTCGGGGTTTGGTATCGATTTATTAATATGTAAATTGGTAACTAAGATTTACTTTGGGGGACAAAAACTCGGATTTGATGACCAAATATTAGCTAAATTTCATAAATTCGTCGTGATGTGAAGATATAACAATTGTAGCATGTCAATAATAAATAGAGTGCTCCTAATTCAATAACTTCCTTTTACTTGATTTAATAACCTAAAAACAAATATAAAAATAAGCAATAAATTTGGTTAGTTATAAGTAAATCAAATATTACTTACTGTAGGGAGCTTTAACACATTAAATGCATTGACTGGGTTGACTTGCTAAAATAAAATATATACAGTAAATATACTAAAATTACAGTTTGAATTCAATTAGAGAAATAATTATCATTATCTGCATTTACTATATTGACAGATTTGGAAATTTTTACAATTGATAATATATTACTAATCTTTTAAAAATATAGATAAATGTTATTACCTGGTTTAGGGAGTTTGGAAAGATTCAAAAATCGACCTGTATAAACAGCTTGTGGATACATCTGATATTTGAAATATTTGTCCAAGTCTTTAAGATTTTTAACTTGCTCATATAATTCAGCTTTTTCATCTTTCAAATCTCCAAAAAAACAATTCAACGTATTAGCTAATTCTTTAGCAGTTGGTCTGCTTCGAGGTTCTGCGTCTAAGCATTTATTTATCAGATCCAAAAGTAATTGAGGAACTTCGCATCTGATTTCAGGTCTATAACCTAGACAAATACGTGTTGCCAGCTCTTCATTGTGTGGAATATCATGATATGAAGGATATCTAGTAAAAACTTCTGACATAATTATTCCGAAAGAATAAATATCGGATTTTTGAGTGTATTCCTTTCCATTTGTATATAATACCTCTGGGGCAATATAGGGAAGCACACCAAAAAGTGCTTTAGAACTTGAGTCTTGTGAAACTGGCTTATATAAGCCAAAACCAGTAATAAAAGAATTAAACATATTTTGATTAACTATATTGCCAGAATGAAAATCTTTATGTACTAATTTGACTTCGTGAATTGTATTAAGCCCACTAGCTATGTAATATAAGCTAGCTACTTTAGAAGCCCAATCTAATTCACCAAATTTACTATCTAGCAATTTTCTGAGACTTCCCTGCTTTGCATACTCCATAACCATCATGTAGTTACCATCTTTTGGATTCTTGGTTATTCCATAAATCGCAATTGCCAAGTTGCCTTCATGTTTATGTTGATTTTTAACCTAAATATTAATTAGAATAAATAAGATTACTACACTTTAATAATAATAAAGTATAATGCTTACTTCATTTAAAAATTCTTGTTTTATATCTTTAGAATTATCAAGACACTTTAAACAAACATCTATTTGTCCCTTTCGTTTCTATACATTGTTTTCATAATCAGACCCTAAAATATATCTGTCAATCCATACTGCCTTAAAAACAGTGCCAAAGCCTCCTTTAGCAAGATACTTTATATTTGTAAATTTGCTAAAGGGTATCCATTCAATAACATTTTTAAACTTCATTGCACTAAGTCATGTTTGTTGAATAAATTGATCAATGTCATGATTGTCACTTGTCCAATTACGAAATTCCTTCCAAATTCTTAATATTAAAACATAATTAATTCAATATAATAATAGTAAGAGCTACAAATATAAAAAAAATAGCCAATATATACTGCCTATCATGTAATAATTAATTATTACATTAGAATTATCGACATTTTTTTGATTTGCTGCAAAAAATTCAGTTACTTGCTATAGTGATACAAGCAATTTAGATATGGTTATATTGGTTTTGTATTGGAATGAACGTGATTTCTATGGTGATTTACTGTAAAAAACTCTTACAAACTATTGTGGTGATACAGTGATTTAGATATGGTTATGTTAGTTTTGTATTAGAATTAAGGTTGCCTGCCGTAATGGGTTTAACAAGGTTGTAAAGTTGCAACCTTTCGAAGTTGTAATTTTTTGCCGTAATAGGTGTAATGGTCATAATAGGTGTAATGGTTGTAATAGGTGTAATGGCTGTAATGGGTGTAATGACTGTAATGGGTGTAATAACTGTAATGGGTGTAATGACTGTAATGGGTGTAATTAGTGATTAAGGATGTAATAGCGATAGTCGAAACAGGTATAATGCTTAATTAGATATCAATATTCACTGTATGAATTCTGGAGTCCTGTCGCTTTTAGACTCATATTGATATATTTTAGTATCGGTTACTGCCACATCTTTTAAGCAATGCAATTGTACAGTTAGACAAATCTCTTACTACTACATACTGTTACAATTTTTCTAGGAAAATCATAACTAGATAGTGTATAGGTAGTAATGAGAAGTGGCTAAAGTTTGAATCATAAGAATATTGCTAGGCTTAGAAGTTTAGATCTGATTTCATTCGTCACATTTGTTTATTTTTTATATTGTTCTATTTTGTTGTTTGCTATAAGGCGTAAGGGTTAGACATAAACTAAAGCTTAGAACGATAGTCCATAGATAAACTTAGAAGGTATATATCTGGCTGGGCTAAGGTTAGTAAAGTTAAAGAAGGTACAAAAATAGAGTATAGACGTAGATTGTGATTAGAGATGTATCGAATTACATGTTTTACGATTATTAATGTATCCCGAAGGTATAAAAGTGCTGCCTTTTCGCGCTTCTAATAAAGCTTTAGACATCAATGTCTTGGTTATAAAAGGATATAAGAAGAATCGATTTCTCATTTGTTTTAAGTATTGTATTTATTATTGTTTTATTACCCCGACCGTTAAGTGACTTAACGATCGTATTTACATTTTAATTCATTTCTAGTTTTTGGCATTATCTTGTGAAAGGTATTTAAAAGTTTATTGCATTTGTTTGTTGTTCATTACTATGCTCTATGTCTAGTTCTTATTTCTAAAGCTTTTTTTTTCATTAATCAACACCTGTGTTTAAGACGCATTTCTCTTTTTTCTGTGGTTTTGGTAGCTATTCTATTTTCTTTTGATATCATGGTCACGTGCAAGACGTTCCTCTTGTTCATCCATTGTTTCTGTGTTCAATTTATCTTGCCTTCGACTGTGTTCATGTTCTATACATGCTTTTCGCTCTTTCTCTGTTTCCATATCTCCATTGATTACATCTACGTTTCAAGACATACTTTTCGTTCTTCAGAGATCTTTTTCTTTGTTTGCGATCGTGATCATGTGCGAAACGTGATTTATTTATAAAATTAGTACAGTATATTCAACATTCATTTTAACAAAATAAATTTTGAATGAATTAAAATTTACTTATATTCAATTTATTAATCATTAAACTTTTTTTATTTACAGATATTTTTATGATTAGGGCTTTGATTAATTAAACTACGTACTTCAACAGTTATAATAATATTTATTACTTTTCTATTACTTCTACAGTTTGAAGGTCGATTTTAACATTACATTTCCCTTCTACTTTAAACTATAATTGGCAACATGCTGAATTTACTCATCTAATTTTATTCATCTAATTTTATCGTGTAAATTTCTATATCATATGTCTCGTAAACAAAGTATTGTATTTAAGAGTTTAATTTATAATATGACATATGTCGCTAAATAACTAATAGTTTTCTAATTTATCGTAAAAACTTTATTTATTTGCTAATTAACCATAAAAACTATCTAGTTATTTATTTTTTAATTTATTTATTTTACACTTCTGAAATCCACACGGAATCCATTTTCTCTCACTAATGTCTGGACTTAAGTCTCTCCGCTCTGCTCATGGTGTGGAAATATAATCATAACATGTGCGTACTGGCGGAATGATCTGGTATTGTAAAATAGTTTTTTTATATGTTGCACACCAGGTGAAGAAACATCAACAGTTCCTTCTGTTAATTATTTAATAATGAAAAATAATTTGATAACCTGTCTATTGTGAGACTGAACAAAAATCCTATTCAATAAGCAGTGTGAATTAGGATTAATTTTCAAGATTTGTTAACTGAGAAAAAATTTAGTATAAAATGATCTGTTATGCAAGCTCCCCTGAAACCATTTATCAACGAAAAAAAAAAAGTTAAATTTGTCATTAAAATAAAAGTATTTGGCAATTTTATTTTGATTTAACAAGCTTGAAATAGAGTGTCCAAACTTATGCGATTTCAGGGATTTTTCATTGTTTGAACAATGAAAGTCCCCGAAATCACATAAGTCTAGACACTCTAGCTTGAAAAATGTTATAATGAAAATTGTAGGTGATAAAATTATGAAAAATTTTAACTATAGTAATTGTCGCGTAGCTTTCCTTTGCTACGGCGTAATCGTCGATCTTACTATGTAACTTCACTCGCTTGGCAGATACGCGAAGACTGGAGTATCGTACCAGATACTA